AAGAAAATGTTCAAAATGTCGTCCTCCTACTTTCCACACAAGCCGAATTACGACGAACTCGGTTTCTTCTTACTCTAGGTCCTCTAAGTTGTCCATTTATTATTCAGCCGCATTAAATTTTTTTCGCGAAGTTGTGCTTCAGTTGTTATTGGACCAGCCCCATTAACCATCCCTTTAAGTTCTCCCCAATACCAGAAATCCATCGGATTGAGGTCAGGAGATCTTGCTGGACATTTTCGAGGATCAGGAGCATTTCGACCGATCCAGCGATTTGGATAATGTTCATTCAAATACTGAATGACGCCTCTAAAAATTTGTGGTGGTGCCCCGTCATGAAGAAACCGCAAATTATGTCTCGGTTGTAATGGCATGTTGTCTAAGGTCTGTTCCAAAAGTTTTGGTAGGTTATTGGCTTGAAAGCTAAGGTATCCCTCTCCTGACAGCTTTGGGGGTAGCTCGAAAGGGCCAATTACCTGATCGTCAAGAATACCCCTCCAAATATTTATTTTGAAACGTTGTTGAACATGACCTTCACGAATAGTATGAGGATTTTCTTGGGTCCCACTTGTGAGTATTATGGAAATTTAGTATCCCGTCTAGCGTAAAAGTACATTCGTCCGTAGCTAGAATGTTTTTAAAAAACTACTGACAGAATGTTAGTCTCCGAGGATAGTCTTCTGGTCACAAGGCCTGCACTAGTGGTACAAGGTAGAGATAAAGCAAATTTTCCCGTAGGATTCTATGGACTATGGTATGCGATAGTACTACGCGGCGGCCTAATTCCCGAGTGCTGATATCTGCATTGATTTCACGATATTTAAGATTTGTTCCTCCTGCTCTACAGTAACCTGTCTTTCACGAGTGCGAATATTAGTGAGCTGAACACTTCCTGTATCTCGAAGTCTTTGGTACACTTGCACAAATGTCCTTCTGTCTGGGTGTACCCGTTGGCGAAGTCTGTCGTGATAAATTTCACCGTAAACTAACGACATGTCGGTGAACTCTTGATTTGAGAACATTGTAAATAAACTCGACGACGTATGCGAACAATAACCAACCGCTGTAACCGTTTGCGATCGATTGCCGGTTCGATAAGAGTGATGAATGACCGACGCGCTGCTAACATGCGTGTTTTAAATATTTAATTTAATGAAACTTACTGAATACCAATTTTGACTAACGTTTTAGATTAGATTATAAAGATTAGTAAGATTGTGGTGATTGTGGTCGATATAAAGCACTTAAAGTTGTAAACTATAAGGCCATTTAGACAAAAAAACTTTTGACTTTTGGACCATGGGTCATATGAACTTTTTGACTTGTTTTGCTCCCCTATTACATATTTTAATAATGACTACCATAACGTTTACACCCTGTCTAACATGGAGCTGTTAAAATTAAAAATGATTTATGTGCATCTTAATAAAGAAGAAGAAGAAATATCAGCTAAATAAAAATAAATAGTACACTCACGCACCAACAACGTCGTTTTAAAAAGCTATGATGTTCTCTTCTTCCGTTCGGTAAAACTAGAAAGTTTATATCAAAAATGATACCACAAATCGTATTCAGTGAAAAAGGTTGCAACGAAAACTCGAAGTTCATGAAGCATTATTTGCCTGGAATGAAATGCTAGCAATTTTGAAAGAATTGTTCGATTTTATGGAAGTTAGTGTATGGATGTTGTACTAGGCCTTCCCATGATTCAGACTGAGGAGAATGTAGCCCTATAAAATAAAAAATATTATGAATAGCGTTGAGAGTGATCTATAACTTTGTACTCTGAAATAAAGAATTTATGTGCCGATGACACGTTAATTTTGTGATATCCAATCAAACGTCAGCCCTCACTTTTTCATTGTTGTGAAAAAGTGTAGAATTTAAGTTGTTTATAAGGCAATAAGGTAAAACAAATGCATATCCGTACAGGGAGGGAATCTTGCATTATTACAGTACATGATTGTTATCCATTGTAACGTAGTACAGAGAGAAATACGATTTTATGATTTGATTGCAGTCGGCTTTATACCACGATCCTCTAGGCCAGCATGTTTAAATTCAGCTGACTCAATTTATGTTGACAGGATTCTGACAAAAATATCATACAACAATCAAAATACATAACCCCAGCTCAAATCTACAAGTTAAATACTTTTCTTAACTTGAATTCAAACTTAGCAAAGTAAATCTTCATCCCCAACAACCAAACCACATTTTCCAGCATTCGTTCTAATTATTAGATACTGTTTAGTGCGTAGTGTTATCTTAATGTTTCATCATCATACATCCCTTTCAGGGTATACGCCACTGTCATAAGATTTATATCTGTCTCTATCGCTCTATCGTAAGAAAAGGGTATCTTCATGGATACGGTGAATTTGATTGTGGTGATTTGTCTTTTGCTCCTTTCATCTATGTGATCACTATTTCAAAATCTATTGTGACCCAAGTTGTTGCTCAAGCTGAATACTTTTGGTGAGAACAGTGCCTTACGATACCTCGTGATCAATCGAAAAGCAGTCATAGCAGAAAAACAAACTGCTTGTTGATTTCGAATTCGACGGAAGTACCGGCAACTATGACAAAGCAGCAAAACAAAGCTATTTGCATTATTGAGCATGATCGGGAACTGGTTGTTGGACACGGGGTAATAAACGACACTCGGCAGAACTCATTTGTATTTTGTAAACGGCGCAAATTTCCTGGGGGTGTAAACTAATAAACGAGGGCTTTAGACCTGAACGCGTAAATTCTGCAAGGGAATATTTAGAGTGACTTGGAGAGTTTTGTGTATAATCATTATTTTGGTATAATTGTCTTGTTATCGCCAGCCGAGTTAAATTAATTCTTGTAGTATCAAGTCTGTCTTAATTTCTGCTATAATTGCTTCAGGTTTTCAATAAGAAAATATAGGGACTTCCAGTACACCATAAAATGCTTTCCAGCTTTAAAGAAGACACCTTTATTGATTTAGTACTACTGAGAATAATATTTATATCCTTTTGTGTACTGAAGCTGCCGCGTAGCCAGATTCTAAATACTGCTAAGACAATTGAAATATTTGATTGAGCCGTTTTTGAACTGCCTAAGTAGAAAGCATCCTCGAGCATGGAAGTTTGACAGAATAATCTGACACGTCCAACGCATGGCGGAATGCTCAGAGCTCCTTCACACACCAGCAGAACTGCTAAGGAAGTGCCACCAATATTTTTGTGTCTAACAAATTCATTAACATTCGAACTAAGAACATGGTTACTCATCGACCAGCATTTGTTTGACAGTTGAAGAGCCACTGCATTTTGGTGACGGTAGAGCCTTTATTTATGTCTTACCTTGGTTTAACGATAAAGGTAATAATCAAGCTGAGAGGAATGTACTTTTATGCGCGTACTGAATAAGAGCCGTTTTACACACAAGAGAATTACTCCGAAAATTATGGTCATAATTAAGCCGAAAATTTTTGCTGTCGTATTACACGTAAAAGAATTCTTGTGAAAATGTTCATGGTAAAAATATAAAACCCGTTCTATATTATATGCGCGAGAATCGGCGCAGAGGGTTATTTCCGTGCATGTCAATATCAAATGTCAACGACAACAACAACAACAACATAACCTCACTTAACATTTGTGGGAGTGGTCCTGTTCGAGTCGTACGAAGAAGCGTTTATGTTTATTGTTTATTCATAATGTCGTGGAATCGGGAAGAAGTTACACTGTTGTTGGAGGAGTACCAAAAATGGCCAAACCTGTACAAGGTGAAGTCAGCCAGTTACAAAAATAGAAATTTGCGGCGTCAGGCGCTGGATGCGGTAGTCCAAGCATTGAGAAGTTTGAAACCTAACGTGACAGCACAGGATGTACAAGCAAAGTTTCAAGCTTTGAAACAAAATGCCAGCAAGGAGAGGCGAAAATGTTTGGAATCGCAAAGAAGTGGCGCTGGTTCAGATGATGTAAGTTTTTTCTATATGTTTGCATATTTCACTTCCACTATGTATATTATGTATCTGATTGAGTGTTAAAAGTAATATTTTTCACAGATCACGGAGCCATCACTGTGGTATCATAATTTGATTGGCTATGTGTTTGACAATAGTGAAGAAAGAGGAGCATTCGATTCTTTGGAAAGCGAAGATGTTCAAGAACAAGATATAACATTGGTAATTGCCGATGTTGTGTTGCATATTTCACTATGGTCAAAGCCCAAATTTCACTTAAATCTGAATTCAACAGTGATTTTGTCTAAACCTAAAAGTACACTTGAGCTTTGCTGAACAGTCATCAATACTTTTGCATTTATGATAACAGAATGGACCTATGGCCATGTACTCCATATTATTTATGTAACAAATAACATGCCAAGTACAAGTTGGTGTTACATTGTCATGAAACTGGTCATTACCTTCATTCTTTTTACTGTTTCATGATTTTTCATATCCAAATCTAATCAAGCATTAATTTAATGTAAATATATATTTATACCTATTTTGCCAAAACTAGAAAACTTTATTCTATATTACTACCTGTTCATTTCACATTGAACAAGCAGATGATGAGGATGCATTAGCAGAGGAGGTGCTCTCGGCGGCAGTATCACCATCAGGGGCTTTGGAGCATATCAGCACGCCAAGCCACTCTAGAAGCTCTTCAAGGGTGAGCATGACAAGTGCCCCCAAAAAAAGGAAAAGGAAAGAAGAGGATACAGATGTTATGGGGGAGGTCAAAAGTACCTTGCAACATATTTCCCAAAGACTGGGACAAACCAGGGAGAAATCCTCTAACCAGATCTTTGGGGAATATGTTGCCTCAAAGCTTGACCGAATAACGGACAGTGAGATAAGAGATGAGGTTGAAGCTGAAATTGTGAATGTATTAAATACTGCCCTGCGAAGGTGCAGGAAATGATGTTTTTCAATTAAAGAGCATTAAATGGATACTTCATTATTTTATTTCTGTATACAATACGGTACAATAATAGAAATAATTATTTGACTCAATATTTCATGAAATGTTCCTTTGTAAAGCTGTGTCTTGCCATGGCACAGATCCAGATGTTGAATTGAAATAATCCCTAAATTCTTCTCTGATTGATCTCGCAGAATTTCCTGATCGATTCCCAATCTGCTGTGAAATTTGAGGTAACAGTTGGGATGGATCAATGTCATACGTGCCTTCAGTAGTGTACATAGCATTCTCTTTAACTAAAAAGTTATGTAAAAGTACACAGGTTAATGTTATGAGTTCAACTTTTTCTGGTCCCAAGTGTATTTTTTGTAATAGAACTCTCCATCTGTTTGCTAGTATTCCAAAGCCACACTCCACCATTCGTCTAACTCTTGACAGACGGTAATTGTAAATTCTATTATCATATGTCAATGAACGTTGTGGGAAGGGTTTCATCAAATGATTAGATAATGGGAATGCTTCATCAGCTATAAAAACATAAGGCACTTTATTTGTCCTACCAGGAAGAGCTCTGTCTGGTGGCAGATTAAGTGTCTTGTTTTGCATTCTTTTATAAAGTCCACAAGCACTAATTCGGCCATTAACACCAATATTCACATAGATAAATTTGTAATTGGCATCTACTAAAGCTAGTAAAACCATACTGTCTGTGCCTTTGTAATTGTGGTAATATGATCCAGCAGATGTAGGTGGGCTAAAAGCTATGTGACGGCCATCTAATGCTCCAAGACAATTTGGAAAATTCTACTTGCTTTGGAAATCTGCAGCAACTTTCAACCAATCATCTGTAGTTGGATTCAACGATTTAAGTAACAGTTAAATAATCTAGTTATAGAAATCATAGTGAATTGAAATACCTTCAAATAAGCATCTTTCAAACATCTACATAATGCTAAGCATGTTTCTGGAACAATTTTAGAAATTGTGCTCTCATGAATTCTTGTGCTGTACATGAGACTTCTATATGTTTCACCAGTAGCCAAGAAACGCAATGTGACATCAAGCCTAAAAACAATAAGTCCCATTAGCTATTTATACATAGGTCAAAAGTAAATTCAATTGTCCAAATTTATATGATGCCAAATCAAAACTATACAGGCTTTATGCATGTGTTGTATAATAAACAAAAACAAATAATTATTGCTATCTTACTACCTGTGTTGGGCACTTATGCTTTCTCTCATGAAAGTGTCTTCCTTTTTTATATGAGGTTCGACCAATGCTAACAGGTAATCAAATTGAGTATCATCAAGGCGAAGAAATTTCTATAAGCATTCGTATCCTCTACTCGTAGCTCCCTGTTTAAAAGAGCTACCTCTACCCTTTTTTCTCCAGCCCTTTTTGTCCACTGATCTTTTTCACTACTAATGTTTGGTATGTATATTAGACACCAAGTCACTGCGCAGTTAAGAGTAAACGATGACCAAATTCATTTTTTTTAACAATCTCGTTATAATATAAATCACGACTCTGTGTCTTTCCGATTATTTGGATGTCACACCCGTTAAGTTTGTCCATTAAAAATTACTTAATGCGCAGGTTGTCTCGGAATTTGTTGTGGTGTCATAGTTGTAAGACATCTCAATTTTTCCTGCAAATTTCGGCATATTATGACATAATTTCGAGTAATTCTCTTTTTAACGTCGCAGTGTTGTTGATGAGAACCGCATTGTTGAGAATACAGTACTTCTGTTTGCCGAAATCAAAGCCCACACAAGTATTTTATCTTTAGGTAGAGTTATATCGTGGTTCTATTAACTACTAAAGGTGGACTAATTTTTCTTTTGTATGTAAAGGAAATTAAATCAACTTTAATGCAGTCCAATTTTCCGCCACCAACTTCCATCTCACAGGTAAATTAATCGTAGCAATGTGTACTTTAAAAACATAGACGCAACCAGTGTCGTGTCATTTGCAAACACCGCCACCATTTTGCTACATACTAGATAGACTATGCCAAATCTTGTTCCTTTCACATGTGGCTTCAAATATTCAACTTTCTTTTATTGACTCAGTATTACCACTAATACGAATCAACGCAAGATTGTAGCCACGATAACATTATAAGCGCTTTTAGTAGAAGTGAAGTGTGGGACAGATTGCAAAAAATGTTTCGTCCCTAAAATATCTTGAATTCACTCTAACGTAAGCAGCAAGATAGAATCGTCAAAAGAAGTTACTGTTTTTTTCTCTTCTTTGCTAATATCTCTCCACCACTGGTTTGTTCGTACAGTGGTAAGTGACTTGTTGGCGATTGTGCCTGGGATCCGGCCGGATGAATTGTGCCTTAATGAGCTTAATTTGTGTGGCGGGATTTTGGACACTTCGACGCTATCTGGCGAAGGTAGTAAGAACGCGTTGGCTCAGAATTGGCATAGTATACTACTATACAGACACATTACTCGTATATAATCGCATAGAGCCATTTTTTGTAAACATTTGGTACTGACATGTATGACTATAGTTGGCCATATCATATCACTATGATCTGATTTCTTGATGGGCGACAAAATGCATATAAACTTTGATATTACAAAATTGCTCTCTCCACAGCGTTTAAATTCATTTCTGGGCCGCCTCTAAGCCTGATGAAGGATTAGGGGAGGATTTTGTAGAGCAGTGACTGATTATCAATTCTCTTTGTGCTTTGAAACTGATCTGTGGATTATATCAGACTATCGCAGTAGTACTTTGTTAAATACCTGCCATGCAATTAGAGCAATTAAGGATTAATAGATCTAGAGACCGTATTAATGAACACTGAAAAATTTTGAAAAGCAGTAGCTGGAATAATACACAGGGTGCATAGAAAATATTTAGAATTGATAATTGAATTGAAAAATATCACAAATAAGAAAGATGAATCTTCGGAGATGCGGATTTGACTTTTTTATTATTACATCTTGCAGATTGCCATTATACCGTTGTATGCACCAATGGAATGTTTTGGTCGTATTTCTCTCAAAATCAGTGGCATTCTTCGGAGCATTGAAGAAAACCTTACTATTGAGGCACTGCCTTAGGAATAAGTCCATGCGAGTTGAATCTGGTGGTCGCGGTGGCTATACAATGTCACCAATCAATTAGTTGGAAATGAAAGATCTGCAACGGTACGAGTATGCTCATCAGTTGCTCTACTGCACGATTCACTATACATATATAAACTTTATGACTCGAAACTTATTTATTGCGTGGTCATGAACTTTTTCCTGTAAAAATAGCTCAAGTGCAAAATTCAGATACCATTGACGTGAAAGGAAATGCCCACAATAAAGTAACTATACTATAACTATCTAAAACTGTAATGACTCATCGATGTTCACGTGAACATCACTTAACTACCAGTAGTCGGCTGTTCATAGGCGGGGTATGAATGTTTAACATGGGTGAACACTCTTCTAAAAAGCTACTATCGCTACCAATATGAGTTACGATCAATCTTTGACCTTTCCCTGACGGTCCGCGAAGACCTGTTGACAAACCTTCAATGCTTTCTTGTCGGTTACTCACTACGTTTTTGTCTATCCAGTTTTTTTTAACTATGTGACCTGCATTTACCCATGTCTCGTCCAAATAATAGATTTTTCTGCTTTGTCGCCTATATTCAATCATTTCGCGTAGGTATTTTCGACGCCAGGCGACTATTTCAGGTCTCTCTATCAATACTGATTTCCGATTACGCGTTTCGTAACGAAAATTAATTTCGTGCAGGGATTTCCTCATTACCTCGACGCTCATTTGGGGGATAATTTCATTTTCCTTGATCGCTGCATGTACAGCCTTGAGGGTTGGTATCTCATTCCTAAAGAAGAATAAATGTACGGTTCGCCTTAACGCCATTTTGCTATCGTCATCCAATTTAACGACCTTTAGTCCCTTCAAATCAAACTTTGGATCAGTAGTAGCTCCAGTTTTCTTCTTTTCATGCACCACCCTGCGAATGGTCCACTCTGGAACGCCTGTCATACTTTCACAACGCGCGAGTGCATCTCCCTGCGACATAGTTCTGTTCAGATAATTGAACACGTTGAGCACGATTTCTTTCGCGTCCCTCTTCAGTGCTTTACGAAGCCGTCTACTTGTTCCCTGGCTTTCAGTAATTCCACTTGTGCCTTTGGTACTCTCCATGGTTAAGTATAACCAAAACAGTAACCACAGAAACCACAACAATAACAATCACACTACAATTTATATAAGAACACACAATATGCGATCCCTCAACGAAACACGTTCCAATGCGTTGCCGACGCCTATGAGTCTGCCGGTCGAGGCGCGTCTTTGATTTCATTGGTTCTACCGGCGGAGAACAATCAGCCATTATTTCCATCTCTGTCTGTGCTGTTGACCACCGCAAAGCCACAGAAACGACATATGTCGTACGCTATACGGCTGTACTGGAAGGAAGCCGGGATCGAGCTCTGATCACGTGTTGATCACGACATGAGTCATTACAGTTTTAGATAGTTGTAGTATAGCTGACTCGCTATGCTTCCGTGCTTTATACAAAATGCGATGAACAGATCACGTGAGAGCGAGCAATGAAACTATTTGTGAAATGGAATTTGATTTCTGCAGACACATTTTCAATAAACACGTTCTCTCTCAAAGGACACCTTGTAATCTTCATCTTCATTTTTAAAATCTAGAGCTATATTAACACGTCAGACAATGAACGTCAAATAATGTCGTTTTGTGGCATAGCGCTATAAACGCATGGATCAACACGATAGTCTGCTAGAAATCACTGAATTTCTTGTAAAATGGCCAATATCAAATTACCTTTTATTGAAGTTTCGCCCATCACGCCTCTATTAAAGTACAGGTCAGTTACAATATATTCTATATTTATCTGTCTTTCAGGTGACAGTTCACTAGTTCTTTATTCGCTAAAATGTGTTCAGACGTTCAGCCCCTCTAAAGTGACAAGCGACTATAAGATGGATCTATTCTTTTGGATGCAAAACTCGATCAGAACTATTGTCGCAACATACCGGTTTACTGTGATGAAATCTTTATGCACAAGATCGATGCTAGATCATAGGAATATCGCATTGCTAGAACCTGCCTCTCTACTACTACTTCTCGGTAAGACGAGAGCATTTATTTTATATAGTTGCTACTTCTCACCTAACGCTAGACGAACAACTTTCGAGATCGATCCCTCTGGACACAGGGAGACGATGTATAAGTAAAGGAAAAGAGGCAATCGTATGCGGAGATTTTAATGCCAAATCAGCGCAGTACAGAATGCAATATGAAGATCCATGTGGCGAAAAAGCTACAAGTTGGATATCAGAAGCGCATCGTTAAAAACGAAGGAAGTTTGTCTAAGTTTTGTCAGGGAAAAATCAAGTTCGATTCTAGAGTTAACCCTGGCCACAGAAAACCAACTTTTCGGAAATCCCTAACAAGGAAAGCTTATGCCGGCACCGATATGTGACCTTCCGGGGTAACATGTGAGTCGATTCACCTAATGGGATATATTCTCTTGTATGGATAATTAATATCCTGGACAAAGGCACTATCGTGTCTCTGGAACAATCAAC